AGGGCCGCTATGGGTCGGAACTGACCGGACAGCACTTCACAACAACCCAGTCACTTAGTGGGAATTAAGAAAACATTAGATAAAAAAGCCATAACAAGTAACTTCTAGGTATCATAATAACTAAATAAGATACCTTTTTATTTAGAGGTTTTGATGTCTGAATTTAGGAAAGGTATATGTCAGTGAAACTACCAGCTGCTCCGCGGGAGAAAGATGAGGCTTTCTACTCCCATAAAGATTTACAGCCTCGGAAACCCTTTACAGGATTGCTATGAGTCGGAACCGACTCCACGGCACATAATAACAACAACAAATATATCAGTGGAGAATTTTATTTTATTTTTTATTTAAGGTACTGAAGATTGGAGTAACTATAAGAAGTTACCAGAAGTCTCAAAAATAGTCTACTTCTAGAAATGTATTCATTCTAATTCTAGAGTTTTTACTAATTCATCAAATACTTACTGAGTACCTAGTATATTCCAACCACTTTCTTAAGCACCATACCTATTGTTATTGTTAGGTGCCATCGAGTCAGTACCAACTAATAGTGACCTTATGCACAAAAGAACAAAACACTGCCTGGTCCTGGGCCAGCCTCACAACTGTTGCTATACTTGAGCCTATTGATGCTGCCATCTTGCCAATCCGTCTCGCTGTGGGTAAAATATTTGAGTTGACGCTCCCTGGAAACAAATAATCAGGAAAGGGTAACTAGGAGTGCCTGTTGGGGTGGAGTGAGCAAGGTCTTGAGAATGATAGGAAGTCCTTTACTGAGACGTGGGAGAGGCAGTATGGGGAGTAGGGGAGCCCTTCTATAAAAAGGGATATTTGAGGTGAGGGACAAGCCATGCAAAAATTACCAGGCATAAACAAAGACGTGTTTAGAAAAATGCTTATTGCATTGCTATTTATAGACATGAAAAGAAAAAAATGATTATAGTATGTCTGTATGGGAATGGAGTCCTGGTGTGGTATGGTGGGTTAATGTGCCAAACTGGAAAGTCATTTGAATCGCAAGGTCAGAGGTTCAAGCTCACCAGTCACTCCTTAGAAACTTTATACAGGGTCACTATGGGTCAGAATCTACTCAGTGGTACTTAACAACAACAACAACATATGGGAATATCATGGGATTTAGGTATAACACTAAGCTGCTAACTGCAAGGTTGGTGATTCAAGCCCACCAACTTGACACCACCTAACAACAATGTGAGAATATTATAATTTAAAAGAATTATCACAGGAAAATATTTAATATGATATGGATACCCATTTTTCCATGATCTTTTTTATACCTCATCATATGTTGTTGTTGTTAAGCTGTCTAGTTTGTTGCGACTCATAGTGACCCTGTATAGGGTTTCCAAGGAGCAGCTGATGAGTTTGAATTGCTGCCCTTGTGATTCAAACTGACCTTGTAGTCCAGTGCTTATGCTTATCCTACAGCGCCACACCAGGACTCCTCCCCCTCATAATGTCCTGGTGTGGCGCTGTAGGTTAAGCACTCTACCTCAAGGTCAGTTTGAACCCTATACAGGGTCACTATAAGTCAGAACCAACTCCATGGCAATTAACAACAAGTGTCTTTGAGTCGGTTCTGACTTACAGTGATCCAGTATAGGGTTTCTGAGGAGCAGTTGATTAAGTTTGAACTGCCGACCTTGTTGGTAAAACTAAAATATATATATATGTATGTTGTTGTTAAGTACCATGGAGTTGGTTCCGACTCATAGTGACCCTGCACAGGGTTTCCGAGGCTGTAAATCTTTACGGGAGCAGAACGCCTCATCTTCCTCCTGCGGAAACGCTGGTAGTTTCGAACTACTGACCTTGAGGTGGTGAGCAGCCCAACTCGTAACCACTATGCTACCAGAGCTATATATATATATATATATACACACACACACACACACATACAATTAAAATACCAGGATACAATTTATTCTGTATGAAGCCAAATATGTAAAGGAAAAATAGTGTAACTGTAAAAAATTCATCTAATTATAAAATTATTAAAATAATTACTTGGTTGTTGTTAAGTGCCGTCGAGTTGATTCCATCCCATAGCAACCCTGTATTGGGTTTCCAAGAAGCAGCTGGTGAGCTTTTTGTCACTATGATTACCTGTAGTTTCTTATTCAACATTGAATGTGTTTTGCTTATGTAGAGAGAAATTAGCTGAAAGAGATCCCCAAATTTACTGTCCAAGAAGGCCTCCTTAGGTCCATTCAGGTTGGTGAATCATGCCTGTTTTATGACAGTTCTAAGATTTGTTCTTAGGCACTATCTGTTGTCACATTTTCATGTTCATCTTGTTCTACAGGTTTGGTGTTTATGTTCCTCTCTGCTGTTTCCACCAAGACAGTAGAGCTCATCTTCTCCTCACAGACTACAACTATGTGGTTCAGCATCAGGCAGTAGAGGAAAGTGCCTCAACTGTGGGTGGCTTGGCCAAGTCCAAAGACTTCCTTTCCTTATTGCTGGAGTCTCTCAAAGAACAGTTTAATAATGCCACGCCCATCCCCACCCACAGCTGCCCCCTATCTCCCGACCTGATTAGAAATGAAGTAGAATGCCTGAAAGCAGATTTCAACCACAGAATCAAGGAAGTTCTCTTCAACTCCCTCTTCAGTGCTTACTATGTTGCATTTCTCCCCCTGTGTTTTGTGAAGGTAAGTGGTTATCTTGCTTTTATGTGCTTCCTGGATTTGTGTATGAATTCCATAAACTGGGTATTTCTTATTTAATCCCCCTTTTCTCTGTCTCCCCTTTGGCAGCCTGGATGGTGGAGTTCGGCTGCATCTGGAATGCACTAATACCGCTCCTGGTTGGCGGATAGGTATTTCCATATATGTGATGCACCCGTGATGATCCCCCCTGTTTTTTAAGTTACTTGTTAACACCTGGGGAGAATAAAAATTATACTTAATAATAGAATCAGTATGTTGTAGCTTATGAGAAGCAAGGTTTCAATAAAAATCAGCCTATTGAGGTTGGTCTTAACATGGTTATCAGGTGTGTCCTTGAACTTAATCTAACCTTTATTTAAGCTTCAGTTTACTTCCATAGAAAAGAAAAATGTTCTGGATGTCACTTGCCCCAAAAGTCTTTTGGGACATTTTAGTGCCCTTCCTTCCTTCAGAGAAGCTCTTCTGCAGCTGGAGTGGTCATTCACAAAAAGCTCTCACTTCTTCTAGGAAGGAAGCACTTAAAATATAATTGCCTCTCCCTCCCAGTCCCAACTCATACAGCCAGAAAGTCAGGTTGAAGGATTTTGGAGGACTCTGCTCTTGAACTTTCTGCCGGGACCACAGGACAACCAATGCATGTGTGACTCAGTGTGGCCTTTGTCTACACGCACCTATCCTTGTTTCCTCTACTCGCCAGTGCGTGGATCATTTCTCTCTCCTCTGATCTCTTCCAGAGTACCCAGTACTATGACATGCGCTGGTCATGTGAGCACCTCATTATGGTGTGGATCAATGCTTTTGTCATGCTCACTACACAACTACTGCCCTCCAAATACTGTGATTTGCTACATAAATCAGCTGCTCACCTGGGCAAGTGGCAGAAGCTGGAACATAGGTCCTACAGCAATGCTCCCCAGCACATGTGAGTAGGCTAGAGGGTAAAACCATGTAACACTTTTCTACATGCTGCTGATCATGTTTATTTGCTTTGTATGTCATTTTTGACCTTGGCTTTAAACATTTAATTTTTAGTTTTTATCCACGTGGATGCTTGCCATCACTCTAAACTGAACACAAGGGACATTAACTCATTTCCACCACCATCCCCAACCCTTCCTTAAATCCCTCCTATCTTTCAATTGCCTAGTCAATCTGAAGATTATAATTTGCTTCCTGAGGTATCATCTTGGAGTTTTCTTTCAGTTCTAACTCTTTGCTCAAATTAAAAGACTCATGATATATTTTTAGTTCTTGTTAAGAACTTTAAGATTCATCAGTTCATTTTCATTGCCACAGCTTAATAGTTGCTAGCTAATATTTCATCCTTGGGCAACTGGGTGTGCTTTGCTTTGCTAGTCTTTCTAATCAATGTAGATTTGGTTTGGTAATTTTCCTTGCCTCTGCTTTTTGCTATTCTTTCTTTCTTTTCTTGCTGAACTGTCTACTGAATGTTTTCCTGCTTTCCCATATTTAAGTGAAAGCTGTTCTTGACTGTGAGTTCTTCTTTCTAAGTATTCCTCTCACTGTGTCCCTTCTCAGTCATTTCTTGCATGGTCCCTATTATCCCAAACGTTTAACTTTAGGACCCTTTTGTTTCTTCTCTCACGCTGAGCCCTTCGTCATACCTTTTCTCAGATCAGGACCATCTTTGTCTTCCTCCTTTTTATAATTTGAACATTTCACAGACTTCATCTCCTAGAAGTTCTTTCATAATTAAGTGGGACAGATTGAGGTGATCTTCCCTTACCCTCTCCCCCTCAAGAGTTCTCCCTTCAATTATCTGCCTTAATGTCTGATACAGATTAGCACAGGCCTTCAAAACCCAGGAACTGAAAGAGATTGGGCCAGGCTGAAAAGAAACCCGACTGTGGGCAAAGGACAGATTTCAATAAAAATTGAAAATACAATCCACAGTACTAGTACTGTACATCTTCAGGCTACTGATGGCACATGGCCATGAGGTGTATCTTCACTTTAATGCTGGTAAGTGTGAGCAAGGCTGGTGAAACACTTTATGAACTGGGAAAGCTTTAGGGTACTAGAATTTTATTTTATTTGTAACATATCTAAAATACTCTCCCAGTTCTTACCTTAGGAAACTAACTTTTTCAAAACTAGAAAGAGGTGAATTATCTTAGATTTCTCTTTTTTTAAAAAAAAAAAAAACAATCTGAAAATCCCCATCCCAACTCCATAATATTAGTGCTGGAAAGAATGAAGCTGCTTCTACCCTGACTTCCTTTCCCTAGAGAAATCTGTATAAAAACACATTAAGACAGCAGTAAAGAGAAGAGTCTGTGTCATACCTTGTGTGTCTCTGTGTTTTACTGTGTAAACCAGAAAAACATACCCATTGCCTTGAGTCAATTCCGACTTATAGTGACCTTGTAGGACAAATTAGAACTACCCCATAGGATTTCCAAAGCTGTAACCTTTACAGAAGCAGACTGTCACATCTTTCTTCTAAAGAGCAACTGGTGAGGTCAAAGCACTGACTTCAGTTGGCAGCGGATCGCTTTAAGCACAATGCCACCAGGGCTCCTACTGTATAGCTTCTCAAGCATATGAGGTGTCTGAAATACTTGATTTAAAATTTAAAAAAGCAAAAACACAAAATTGATTTTTTGGTAGCTGTTTGGGATGTGATTTCTGAGGTTATAATGTCATGCTAGTTTGACAGAGTGCTAATTTCTGTACGACTTTGATTGCCATCAGCTTTCTTTTGTTTGTTCCCTCTGGCTTTTGCACCTGTAGACTCTGCTCACTTGGGATGGAGATGACAGTTCACCTACTTACACTGTTTTCTAGCTCATAGGTGCTGGTTTATATGTGTATTTCTGTTCAAGCTCCTAAGCCTTTTATTTAAATCCTTTAATACTGAGTTAACTATATCACTTTGCAACCTCTCTCTACTATATGTATATAGTAATGAAGTTATAACAAATCCTTTCTGTCTCCCTTCAGTTTATCTATGGAATTACTGTACTTTCAGAATTCAGGCAGTCAAAGCCTTGAATACTTTTTCCATGGAAATATAGTTCACCTTGCCAGACAGTGTCTTATCTAAAATTGCCAATGTTCTAATATTACATTTCTTTCTTCTTTAGTTGGTCAGAAAATACAATATGGCCTCAAGGGGTGCTGGTGAGACACAGCCGATGTTTATACCGAGCCATGGGACCTTACAATGTGGCCGTGCCTACAGATGGATCCCATGCCCGCTTTTATGCAAGTACCATTTATTTCTTTTCAAACATAACCTTAGGGGTAAGTGTTAGGAAGTCACTCTGCAATGTCGCTAAGTCTCAGTTTTCTCATCTATAAAATGGATAGTGTCAGAATTTAGAAATGTGTGTAAGCATCTAGCACACTGCGTATAGGAAATTAACACACGGTAAATAACTACAAGGTCGCTGGTTCCAGCTCACTAGCCACTTCTTGGAAACCCTATACAAGATTTCTGTGAGTCGGGACCAACTCGATGACACTTAACAACACCAGTCACTACTACTACTATGTCTATTGCCTATGTCCTCTAGAAATGACTTCTGAAAGGCAGTGTCCAAACTTGACTGACTTCTCTGGTTACATTGAAGTTTATTGAGTCTAATATGTGAAACAAATAGGCAATTATTTACACTTACTGCGTAATAGTTTGTTTTAGTGGTTATCGTTATATATTTGTGTATTATCTGTAAGCAATATGTCATATAGTCATGGGATAAATAATTGTTTTAATATTTGTCATATGTATTCTCTCCTTAAAATAACTTGGACTTCCCCTTTGGAAGTCAGATCAATGCCATGATCTATGACGTAACTTTCACTTTTTCCTTAATTAAAAGGGAACAAGTCCTAAAAGTTAAAAAGAAAGATAGCAGCAGGCACTCGTAAACTCAGCCTCTGTTGCATTTGAATTTAGCCCCTTTAGAGAAAAGTATTTGGTGGAAGTAAAAACAGGTAATCCCTGTTTTTAGTATAGCTCTAATTTTGATTCATTTTTCTTTCCTTCTTTGTAATCGTGTCTTTGTGTACCCAACTTCTGAATATCCAGAAAAAAATCCCCCCCTTTTCCCCCCAAAAAACCCAGCAGAGTATATAGTGTAGAAGATTTGAGGCAGTTACTATGGTGTTTAGGTAAACAAAAAAAAGGAAAGAAAAAAAAAAAAGTCAAGAAATTACTGTATTGATGCTACAACTTGGTTACCCCTACCCCATATAATAGAATCCTGCTTGTTTTTGTACAACTCAATGCTAAGAGTGATTTTTACATTTTCAAGAGGCTCTAAGAGAGTAAATCACAAAGTATTGCTACTAGAATTCTAGTCACATAGATACTTCATTTGGATTCCACATAAAACATGATTTAACATATATCTGCGATCTGTGGGTGGCTATGGACAAGTTCTATCAGTAATACACTTGTCTTAGTCTTATTAGGGAACTCGTGGTGTAATGCTGTAGGGTAAGCATTGGACTGCTGACTTCAGGGTTGGCAGTTCAAACTACCAGCTGCTCCATGGAAACTCTATACAGCACGGGTGAGGAGCTTTTATTCTACCAACATTTATACATCATTCGCAGGCCATGAAAATTATCAACTGAAAAATTAGCCTGCTATATTTGGAGTCCTGGTGTGGAGCTGTGGGCTAATGCGTATGATTGCAAAGTCATTTGAACTGCAAGGTTGGTGATTCAAGCTTACCAGCTGCTCCTTGGAAACCCTATACAGGATCACTATGGGTCGGCATTGACTCGATGGCACTTAACAACAGCAACAATGTGATGACTGGAACTGCAGTTGCCTTGGCAGGGACAGACCAAATGATTTTGTGGGCCTTATGCGAACCAGATGTTCCCCACCCTTGCTTTTACTAGGTTGTTATGATTCATAATTGACTCATTGACACTTTACATCAGCAGCAGTCTCAGGGTGCTTTCAAAAAATAAAGTCCAGTCCAAGCATTCATTGGCTTACAGGTGAATCTGCTGGGCCAGTTAAATTCAAGATGGCGAGGTTAGCTCCGAAGGTTATAGAGACTGGGTTTTGGATTCCAAGGGAGTAATCTTGGTAGATTTTCTCAAAGGACACTGGACAATCATGGAGACTTATTAAGAAGTTTTAAGAAAACTGAAAACTACATTGGTGAGAAAAAGGCCAAGGCAGTTGTAATGAGGAAATTTTTTTCCCCCATTTTTGCTCGTTCAAGGATAGCAAGGATTGGCCTAGGAGAATTCCTCTGGGAAACCTTACCCCCACCACCCTACAACACTGATTTCTTTTTGTTCACCAGACTCAAAGGACATATCAAAGGAACATGATTTGAGTCCCTCACGGATGCCCAAACTGCCATTTGATGGGGTGTAAATCAAAGAGTGCAGAATTCTTCAGGGAAAGGTTATTGTTGCTGTTGTGTGCCGTGGAGTCAGCTCTGACTCATAGTGACCTTGTGTAGTTTCTGAGGAGCAGCTGGTAGGTGTGAACCACTGACCTCTTGGTTAGCAGTCCAATGTTTATCCTACCACCACCCTCAGAAGTTTGTAGACCTAATGGAGAATTTTAATTAGTTTGTTTGATAAAAGGTTTGTATGATTTTGCAGCAATACTTTTTACTTTTAAATAAGTGGTGGTGATGGTGGTAGTTATGTACTGTGGAGCGGGTTCTGACTCATAGCGACCCTGTACAGGGTTTCCGAGGCTGTAAATCTTTATGGGAGCAGAAAGCCTCATCTTTCTCCCATGGAACAGCTGGTAGTTTTGAACTGCTGACCTTGAGTTTAGCAGTCTGACTCATAACCACTACGCTACCAGAGCTCCTTTCTTATTTTATAAGTGACTGTTGTTGTTAAGTGTCGTTGAGTTGGTTCCGACTCATAGCTACCCTGTGAAGGGTTTCCAAGCAGTAGCTGGTAAGTTTTAATCACTGACTTTGTGGTTCAGATGTACCTTGTGGTACAGTGCTTTTCATAGTACCTATATAATGTCTTCAGCTTTTGCCTCTTCACCTGCAAAGTATAAAATTTGTCCTGATTGGTCTTTTAGTATATCCTGGTCTCAGTTTAGTTTAAGGTTCTTCTGTTTTCTCAAATATAAGCTATAATCTTTAAAAAAAAGTCGTTATAAGCAGTGGTCTTTTGTGGCATAGTGCCTTTCTATATCTCAGGGGTATCAAAATAATTTTTTTTTTTTATTCTTTGATAAATGAGGGAAAGGTTTGTATTTCTATAGCATGACAAAAACCTGATTGATATTCAGTAAACTGATCTGTTATTGCATATAGCAACCTGTATATATGAAATTATTTTTTGATATGACTATTAAAGTAAGTACAACTTTTATAATTCTCTGAAGTAACATTTTGCTTTTTAACTTCCTTACAGTTCCTATTTCATCGTCCATTAAGGCTGTTAAATCTGCTTATCCTTATTGAAGGCAGTGTCGTCTTCTACCAGCTCTATTCCTTACTGCGGTCGGAGAAGTGGAACCACACACTTTCCATGGCTCTGATCCTCTTCTGCAACTACTATGTTTTATTTAAGCTCCTCCGGGACAGAATAGTATTAGGCAGGGCATATTCCTACCCACTCAACAGTTATGAACTCAAGGCAAATTAAGCTGCCTCTCAACAATGAGGGAGAACTCAGATAAAAATATTTTCATACGTTCTATTTTTTTCTTGCAATTTTTATAAATATTTAAGATATTTTATATTTTGTATACTATTATGTTTTGAAAGGTGGGAAGGGTAAGGGATATTAAATGTATCCATAAACAAGGTGATGTGATCTTTCATGTGTTAGCATATTTGAATAATACACATAAGAGAGGTATGCCTCTCCAGTAAAGAGATTGATTTGTTTGTCTGGCTGTAGAATAACTCATTCACTTGTGGATACATCTTATGTATTGTTTGATAACAGTACCTTTGGTGTATCTGCTTTCCTTCCAGTCCTTCTCTTTATCTTTAGTTCTTAGCTGACTTTATTGTGACAGAAAGGGATAACAGTGTAGCTGCCTGCCAGCACCCATTTTCTTTCTCTCAAGCTGACAAATGATGTTGGAATACCTGGGGAGAAGCATGGATTCAAGTCCTGGTAATGGTTCTCCCTGGTGCCTACTGAGTGAGAGGAAGCATTTCTGAGAATGATACTCAGCTGGTCTGTATTGTCCTGTGACATTTGAATATATTTTAAAAGTTGAGGTTCAAGCTATTACTTTAGAGTGTTTCGTACTCATGACTAGATGGTGGTGTACGTCTGAGTCAGTGGGAAATGACTATAACTTGTAAATGTGGGCTGGAGTACGGACAGGTTGAATATCCCAACTAGCCAGAAGAATGGCTGAATCCTCAACTATATAATAATGGATTTAGTCTAACAGCAGCCCACCATACCAAAGGCAACATGTCTAATAAATGTGAGGAGAGTGAAATATAAGAAGTTATTACCTCCATATCCAGAATGTGTGTGTCTGATTTCACGTTTATGTGTGTGAGTTTTAACCCTTTTAAGTCAGTGTTCTTGGGCTGTAATGTAGTTAATTCATTAATGTTTCCACTAGTCATCTGAACTTTGGGGAGTTCTTAAGAGCCTGAAATACACTCTTAGATGGTTTTTGCTAAAATAGGTTTTTTAAAACTATGAGACATTTTTGGTGAAACAAAATATGACTTAGGAAGTAAAAGACTAGTCATGTAGTTCATAAACTGGCCTTGAAGACAGTTCTTGCAGAGGAGTTGTGAACAGGTTTTCAGTAATGGTAATAGCATCCCAAGGAGTAGGTATGTGTGCAGCTGCTGAGCGTTCTGTATTCAAATTAAATGCTTCCTTAAATATTTATTTTGATGTATGACTTTAAAAACAAAAAGTTGAATTGTCATTCAGGCTCAGTTTACTCATCCTTTCAACAGTTATGTATTGAACACTACGTACTGTATTAGGCATTGGGGATGTAGCAGTGAATAAGACGTGTGAGTGCCTCACCTTCTGTAGAGCTTACACTGCAATAAGAGTTGCAGAATATATAAATTTTGAATTAATGCCATGCATCCTGGTAGTAGTGATAAGTGCAGTGAAGAAAATAAGGTTAAAGAAATAGAAAGGGCTAGAAATGGGACTGCTGGGAGGAATATTTAGGAGATATTTTTTGAGCAGGGGTCAGATACAACAAGACTGGACCATATAAAGAGATTTAGGGAGAATTCTGTGCTACAGGAGCTAAAAAAATTTAAATAAAAAAACAGTGCCTTAGGAGGGAACAAGATTGGTATTTTGAAAGAGTAGCAAGAAAATCAGTGTTAATAGGTTTGTTGTGTTCATCCTAAATATGATAGTTCTTGGTCTGCGAGTGATAAAGATGCTCTCTATTTTTAGAATCTTGAAGATAGGCTTATTTTGACATGCATAGTGTGGCGCTGTGGACTAATGCGGTAGACTGCAAAGTTGTTTGAACTGCAAGGTCGGTGGTTCAAGCTCACCAGCTGCTCCTTGTCTGTACAGGGTCGCGATGGGTTAGAATCGACTCGACAGCACTTCACATCAACAACAGACATAGTGGTTATGAGTCGGGCTGCTAACTTCAAGGTCAGCAGTTCGAAACTACTAGCAGTTCCGCGGGAGAAAGATGAGGCTTTCTGTTCCTGTAAAGATTTACAGTCTCGGAAACCCTATACAGGGTCACTAGGGGTCGGAACTGACTCGACGGCACTTAACATTTTTATGAGATTAACTGATAGTGGCATGGGCATGGAGATGTCTCATCAAAATGAGCCAAATTTGACTCTAGCATTAAAAAATAGCCCAGATAGGCCATCTGATTACCACAGGAGAACCAGATGACAGATTAACTGGACAAATGATTGAATTTAAGACAGATAGAAATTAATTTTGGCTAATGGAATTGCAACAGTAACAATGGAATTATGAAGTTAAAACATTAGGGTATAAAACTCTTCAGTTTAACCTGCTCCTCTTCCTATATTTGGTGCTCTTTGTAGATGTTTATTCCAGTGGTAGTGACAAAAATTCTCTAGCCTTTATATCTTAATACTTACAGATCATGTAAGCGAAGGGCTACCATCTTTGCTTAGTAATTGTTGAGTGCACACTCATTACAGAAAGACCTTTAAAAACATTGTTTATATGTTCAAATGGTAGGAAACTCTTTTCTTTCCTTGCCCCTCTGCCTCCTGGAATGACAGCTACAGCTGCAGCATAGCTACTGACCCAGCAGGCCCATTGCTCTGCTGTATACTAAGGGCCTCCATAGCTGGTTTTTAGTAAATGGGACAGATCTTGCTGGTGTACTGTTCAGGGGTTATGTTCTGGCCTGTCTTGGTGCAGCCTGTAGAACTGGAACTTAAGTCTCTCTTAAATTGGATATCTCGCACACATTGGGAGAGGAAGTAGTAATCAAGGACTGAAGTCAGTGCTGTCTGAGGGTGTGTTTTTACTGACTGGTTTGGGAGCTATTGATGGACTGAAACTTCATCTAGCCCAAATTGGAAGTTGGGGTTCAGGGAGACTGAGCAAAGTCTGAAAGTTTTAGCTGTGCATACCTAAAAGTTTATTGTAGAAATTAGTGCTTTCATAAGCAATGTGTGTATGCGGTAGTTGAGAAAGCAAACACATTGTCCCAAATTCAACAGAAAAGTCACAAACTAAAAATGATGACTCATTCAAAGAATCAAATCAAAGAGGAATTGCTTCTCTAGGAACCAGGCTCTGAGCATGTTAGAAGAATACAGTACAAAAGTATTAAACAAGTTGAGAGTGTTAAAGACATAAAGCTAAAAATTGAGGAAAATGATGCATGAGCAAAATAGTAACAGAGATAAACTCTATTAAAGGAAATGAAACAAACACCGGAGTTAACACAATCATTGAAACAAAAACTCATTGGAAGGACTCAAACTAAGATAAAGTCTTTGAAATTGTGGAGTCTGAAGAACAAGAGAGAAGACCAAGACTGCTGAGCACAGCCAAATGAAAATGTGGTAGACCATCAAGTGAACTAGCACACATCATGGAAGTCCTAGAAGGGGATGGATGAAAGAAGAAAGGGAATAGAATATTAGCAGAAATAATGGCAGAAAACTCCAAATCCAAGACCTCAGTGACTCCCCAATAGGATGAACCCAAAGAGATCCGCACCAAGACATTATAATGTCTCAAAAATAAAAAATACTGAAAGCACAAGCAGCAAAAGACAAAAACAGATAAATAGGATCTACATCAAAATTAAGTTTTGTGCAATAGAGGACTTTATAAACAAAGTGAAGAGACATTATAGATTGGAAGAAAATTTGGGGTAACTATAAAAGTGCTAAAACAGCTAATGCTTTGGAATCTAGTTCTTGACAATATTATGAGGGAAGTAAAAACAAACCTTTATTAAGCAAAAATATCAAAATTTGAAGCTATTCTTTCTCAACAACCATCTAGGTCTATATACATGCTAAGTTGGTGTTTTGATCTCTAATCATTCTTGCTTGGCAAAGTGTAGGGTCAGTAAAAAAGAGGAAGACTCCCAACAAGATGGATTGGCACAGTAGCAGCAGCAGTGGGCTCAAATGTAATTCAATTGTGAGGATGGCACAGGACTGAATATTGTTTCGCTATGAGTCGGAATTGACTTGAGGCTCATAACAACAACAATCATTCCCCAAAGAATTCAGTGCTCTTCAATTTATACCACATGAAAATGGCAGTTTTGGCATCCTTGAAAGGTTCAGTCATGCTGTTTTTAAATGTCCTTAGAGTTTGGAGAACAAAAGAAGTCTGAAGGGGCAAGATCTGGGATATGGGGTGGATAGAGTAAGGTTTCCCAACAAAGTTTTTATAGGACAGCGCCATTCCCTTGATGTGATTGAAGAAGATTCCTTGTTGCACATTCCTGGGCTTTTTCTCACCAATGCAATTTTCAGTTTTCTTAAAATTCCATAATAAGCCTCAGGATTATCCATTTAGAATCCCCAAATAGTCACTGTAACCTGAGCTGACTTTCCTGCCTTGAATTAAACCACTTCAGCAGATCCTTGGGAGACACTGTTCTGATTGAACTTAAAATTATTTTTAATGCACATCTGGTAGCGTAGTGGTTACGAATCGGGCTGCGAACCGCAAGGTCAGCAGTTTGAAACTACCAGCCGCTCCGTGGGAGAAAGATGAGGCTTTCTGCTCCTGTAAAGATTTACAGCCTTGGAAACCCTGTACAGGGTCGCTATGGGTCGTAACCGACTTGACAGCAATAAACAACATGAAACTAAGAAGAGGGTATTGTTGAGAGAACACTTATGCAGCTATCTATTGTTCCGCAAGAATATGTTCAAACACGTTAAAATTCACCAAAGTATGAACTAGAAACCTAGTCACAATACTCTAACTAAACCTGGTATGTGAATTGTTACAAAGGATTCCCAATACAATTGAACGCTAATTTTTCCTCAGAAACCCTGAAGGCCAGAGGCAGTAGGATGACATATTTAATGTGCTAAAAGAAAAGCTCTGTCAGCCAAGAATATCTGGATAAAGTGCTCTTCAAGAATAAGGGTGAAATTAGGACATGCCCAGGTAAAAACGGAGTTCATTACAACCAGACCCTGCCCTACAAGGAA